AACGAGTGTCTGAACGAGTGTCTGAATCTCCCAGGTGGCTGGGGAACACAAGTTATGTTCCCCATATTGAGAGCAACTGGGATAATCCAGGAGCAGCTGGGAGTGAGAGTGCTAGGCAGAAACTGAGCGAGCGAGTGTGGAGCCAGGGAAGTTTGTGAGTGTGTCATGCAGACATTCCCCACTTCCGTCTGCAGTGACTCTTGTGGGTGTGATCTGTAAGCAAACAGACGTTTGGCCAAAGGCTGTTACTGGGTTCCCTGCCTCCCTCTCCCTTCCCCTCTCCACCCCCCACCGCACAGGGCTGGTAGCGGGGAGCTTTGCTACGGAAATGGGAGGGATGTTTCAGGTGAACCAGAGTGTTTGGAAGTACCTGTGATCTTCCCAACTCAGGCTGCGGAGGAGGGCAGAGGAATTTGGCAGGGAATTGTAATCACTCTTAGACAAGGAGGATTCTGCACAATGAAGCATTTACAACTCACAGTTGACATCTGATCCCTAGCCAGATCTCAACTAAGCACCACAAAAGCCACTGAGGCTGGCTGGAGGCAATATTTCAGGATTGGGGCCTCGAGCGCACAATGGAAAGGGTTCGGTGCCTGTGTTCAGATCTGCATTTATGTTTCTTAATAGTGTCTCTGTTGGCAAAACCTACTGCGTTCACAGAAGTGCTTCAAACAGTCGCATCTTCAGACTCAAAATGTGGTGCCTCCGGCCTGGGGGAATTCGAGCTTGGACCTCATCTGGAGCGCCAAAGAGGAAATAATCACAGAATTAAAAAGGTGTATGAAGCAACCATGACTTGCTGACATGTGTTATTTGCAAACAGAATAAAGTCCAAGCCAGTAATCTATGGACCTCGCATCTTCAAAAGGGCCGGCTTCTTCTGCTGAAAACAGTTTTGAGCCAAATCAGCTGGGAGGAAAGAACTTAAAGGGGAGCAACAGGGGGGATTAATGAGGAACTGTTCCACAACATCTTACTAAATGCTCAGACAAGGACAACTGAGAAAGAAGTTTGCACTGGCGAAAAAAACCACCCTGGCTTATAGGGGAAGTGAAGGTAGCTAAACCAACGAATGAATGGGGAAAATTGGTAACATTCCTTATGAAATGGAAGCAACAAGGGATGGCCAAAAATTGATGAGGGAAGCAAAAGGCTACAAAGGGAAATGAATGGTCTGCAGAGATGAAGGACTGCAAGTGGGAGGTATATTAGGTATATAAGGAATCCTAACAGTGGCACTGGTCCATGACTAGATGGAAATGGTAGAAGTGTCAATAATCATTCCAAAAAGTTAGCAGTGCTGAATAAATATTTCTGATCTGCCATTGGGAAAAAAGCAGAAGATGCAGTCATATCACATGATAAAATACTTTCCATTCCAGCAGTAACTTGGGAAGATGTTAAAAGACTATGTGTAAAGCTAGACATTTTCAACTAAACAGGTCCTGATATAACTTGCATCCAAGAGTTTGAAAAGAGCTGGCTGAAGAGCTTGGAACCACTAATGCTGATGTGCAGTACTACACTGGAGAAGTCCCAAAGGACTGGGAGACAGCTCCTCTCATGCCAATATTTAAAATTATATCTAAAGATCAGCCGGCCTGACACCAGCCCCAGGCAAAATAATGGAGCATCTTATAAAGGACTCCATGAACAAAGAGTTCAGAGAGGGTAATTAACACTAGTCAATATGGGTTGGAGGAAAATAGGCCTCGTCAAATAACGCAGTATCTTTTTCTTGGTGGAGAAATGTTCGAAAACAGCTGGGAGCATCACTGGGGCACTGGGCCGGCAGGGATCTTTCAGGTTTCTTTGGAGCCACCTGTGAGCTTTTCTGCTCAGATGCGGAGGAAGGTAGAGGAGCAGAATCCAGGCTGTGAGGCACCTGACTTGTATTCTGCATGGCAAGTGATTGAGAAACCAGCACGTACATATTGGCGTGGCACACCAAGAACTTAAAAACTGCCTAATGCCTCCCAGTGTCATTGGTAATGGGGGTGCTTGTGGGGCCTTACAGGGGTGAATTTGGATTCCTATATTGTTCAACAGATTGGTCAATGCCCTGGAAGGAAACACAGGGCACATCTACACATGCACATTTACTGCGCAGTGACCAAAATTACTGCACAGTATGGGCACACGTCTACATGTGCACGCCCATACTGCACAGTAAATATGGTGACTTATGCTGACTTGAGCATAAATTTGATACCAGCATCATGCAGGTATCAAATTTATGACCAATTAGTCACTGCTCAGTAAAACACATGTAGATGCCTTACTGAGCAGTAAGACTGTGTGGGTGGACTGACTTGGGATTAACTTTAGTCCCAAATCAGTCCACACACAGCGTTAATGCACTTTAACATTTGCATGTGTAGATGCCAGCCTATTCTGGCTTACTGTGCAGTAATTTACTGAGCAGTAAATTTAAGCCAGTGTAAATACACATGTAGACATGCTCACAGAGTTGTTGCCAGTGCCTTTTTCAGATGACACTGAAATGGAGAGAATGACCAGAAATGAGGAGGGCAGGTTGCTGCTGCTGGAACATTTGGCAGGCTGGGTCCATGTGTGTTTCCGTAATGCCAAATTAAGTCCTTTGTCTAAGAATAAAGTACACAAACTACCCTTTTTGGGGAGGGGTGCGGGGTGCTCCATCCAGGGAAGCAGCGACTCTGGGAGAGTTTTAGGTCACAGTGGATAAAGCATTAGACATGAGCTCTCACGTCAGCCTCCAAGAGATCCATGGAGGTGTTAACACAGGAATCACAAAGGGAGCAAGGAGCTTACATGGTTGCTTCTGGATCCACCCCCACAAGGACACTGGGCCCAGGTTTGGTATCTGCAGTTCAGGGAGGAAGCAGAGAAACTGGAGAAGGTGCAGAGAAGAGCCATGGTAATGACTCCAGGGATGGAAACCTGCCTTGTAAGGGAAGATGCAAGATGCTCAATCTATTTTGCTTGTCAGAGAGGAGACCAAGGAGTGACTGGATTACAGACTTTAAGGACCTGCTTGGAAAACAAACATTGGATAATCATCTAGTTGATGAAGGTAGAACAAGGTCCACTGGCTGGGGTTGAATCTGGACAAGTTTGGACTAGAAACAGGGCACAGCTCTTTAAACACCCAGAGCAATCCATCACTGGAACAACTGACAAGGGGCAGCAGTGGCTTCTCCATTACTGGAAATGATTATACTCAAGGCTGGTGTTTTTCAAGCGGTTAGGCTGAGGTCAAACAAGAACTGATTTAGGGAAGTCTTCTGGGCTTGAGTTATACAGGTCACATTAGGGGATCACCATGATCTCCTGTGGCTTTCTAATCTATTCATTTCCCTATATGTAATTCAGTGCCCTTATGTTGTGGGGCTCCACTGACAGGTTCACAGACACTTGAGAAATACACTGTGTTGCAGGGCAGGTAAAAAATATGACTTGTGGGAAAAGACTGGGTTGATTGGTTTAAAGAACTGGTCCCTGGTGTGGGAGGAATCAGGAGTGAAATGGGTGTCAGTGGGTTACATTAAAAAAGGCAGGACAGGGAGGGGTTTCTGCAGGGCAAGGCAGGAATAAAAGCATTTTCCAATGCTGGGCTCCACTCTGGAACAACCTGATAATAACAAACCAGGCTTCAGGAGAAACTCCCACGAGGCTGTTCCTGGAGCTGCAGTGCAGGCGCTGGGGACGAGCCCTCCTATAACAAACCCACGTAGAAGGGTGTCCTGCAAGGCCAAGA